TCCAAGTATTCTAACATAAATTTGAATCAATAAGTCAATTCCCCACTTCCCCAGTCATCTTACATTTATAAGAAGTAGCTTAATGAGCCCTGGTCGAGTGGCTCAGTTGGTTGGAGCGCTGTCCTGTACAACAAAAGGTTGTGAGTTTGATTCCCAGTCAGGGTATATATGTAGGTTGTAGGTTTGATCCTCAGTTGGGGTGCTTATGGGAGGCAATTGATGCATGTTTCTCTCACATCAATGTTTCTGTCTCTCTCTCTCTCCCTTCCTCTCTCTAAAAGTCAATTTAAAAAACATATCATTGGGTGAGGATTTTTTTTAAAACATAACTTAATGAGATAAATATACATAACAGAAAGACTATTTGGTCTAAATATCAAAGTTTATTGAAATAAAATATAATCTATAATAAAAAATGCTAACGGTGTTATCACTGGTTACATTTTTAAGCATATTAACAAGAAATCCAACATTTTAATCCAAGAATGACACCATCTTTGTGGTACAGCAACAAACATGAAATTAAGTGTTGAATAATACTGAATAACCTATCAGAAATATTTTATACTTTCCCATCTATGTTCAATATGCCTTTTCTAGAAATATCCTCCAAGTGAAACTTTTAAAACTTAAGACACAATTTTTAGAATTAAATAGTTTTAGCATAATTAGAATGTATTTCAATGCTCTTCCCTATCAGCTCTAGTGTGGCTATTATTCTTAAACTGGGTTTAAAGCTGGTCATAAAGCAAAACAGATGAATTATTTTAGAAGTAAGAAGGGCATTAAGATAGTACAAGAGGAAAAAATAGGCATCATACACAGTTTATCTATTTAAACTCTTTGAGAACTGTTTCAATTGGCCAGTCTTGGCCTGGCACAGAGATCTTTGTCATAGCAACTTCTTGACCCAAATAGTCCCACAGTAAAGTAGAGGGGGAAAGACGGGTTTCTTCTTCTTGCTATATTTCAAGATCATTTTCTCTGCAATCTTTATACCATTTCACTTGCTATTCCCCCAAATCTGTGCCACAATTCCATTATTCTGCACAAGTCCCGGAGAAAGACTTGCACGCACTAACTTTAGGAAATAACTCGCAGGTTCCTCTGAAGTTTCCCCAGTGCAGGTTATCCCTTTGCTGACTGTTGTGTAGCTATCATATACCCAACTTCTACCACATTGTCTTACCTATGGTGTGCGGATCTGAAAATAGTCGTCATTTTGTTGAGGAAGATAGAGCCTTTTAACAAAAAAACATTGGAAGCTTTTCAAATCCTCATCTTTAAAAATCTTTAAAACTTAGATATCCTATGTACCCTAGAAAAAAATGATTATTTCGTAGAATAAAGATATAAAAAAGGAACAATAAAAACTGACAAAATTGGGAGACACACAGGACATCTCTTCAAAGATGGTCAATTTTAGTCTTAAAATACATCCCATTAGTTAGAACTGCTCGGTTGGGCATTTGTTATAATGTTCATTTTGACAGATTGCTGATTTGGGAACTTTAGTGGACAATTTCGTTTCCTGACTTCCTATTTAAAACTGTATCTACTGAAGCCAGGATCGCCTTCATAATTTTGCTTTGTGCATTTCCTAATTCAAGAGGCATCCCTTCCTCTCAAAACAGGCTATTATAGGAAGGATGGATATAAAGTTTTCAAAGCTATTGGTGACAAATTACTATATGATTTGAAGAAATTCTTAGAATTAACATCTGATGAAATACTTTTTTTTTAGAAAAATAATACAATTCTTTGTTTTTTAATCTACTGTGGTTTAAAGCTTAGGTTTTATTTTTGCCATGGTATTTGAACACTTTATTTGGGATAGTACCATGTCCTAAAAAAACAACATGTTTTAGGCAGATAAGTCAAATTTCCTTCTTTCTTGGAACAATAGTATGAAACTGAACTTGTGGCAGTAGTTGAAGACTTTTACCCTGTTTTTGAGTTTAATATTTTTGAGATAGAAGTGAAATTAGAAACTAGAACCCTTCATATAAAAATATATGCATATCAATTTATTAACCTCTAATTTCTTAACAGCAGAAACATAAGGATTAAAACCAAACAAAACCCATGAGGATTAAGTAAGATATATGCACGATTTAAAATCTAGATAGATCTTTAGAGTTAAATTTACCAGGGTCCTGCAATTTGTCAGATTCCATTATCTCTATTTAGCAATTTATTTTGTCCAGGAAGGCTTCTATTTTAAATTTTACTTTGTTTTATAGTGTCACCCAAGAAGAATAACCTCAATTCTTCATGTTTTCCCAATAGCTTCAGAAGTGCTGGACATCATTAAAAAAATATATGACACCAGTTACCAGAGAACCTAAGAACTCTGATTCTGATGAGTTCCTTTACCATCTTCAGTCACTTTCTAAACAGAATTTAACCGCACATTATCAAATAACATTTTATACTAAAAAACAAATAATTTAAATAGCCCCCCAAATGACAGTATTTGAGAGATCTAAATGAATTCCATCCATGCAATAAAGTTTACATATATGGTATTGGTAACCTACTACCACTGTACTTTGTTCCATGGAGGAAAAAGCAGAGAATCTAAATATTTAGACACATGAAAGATATTGGGAAAAATAAAAATTTAATGCTTTTTATTCTCCCCAAATACTCTTGATTTGGACTCTATAGCCCACTGAACACAAAAGCAACTGTAAAATACATTTCGAGAAGAGATGATACCATACCTAAAGACAAGGTAATTCTACAAATTTTGAAAGCATTAAAAAACTGACTTAAAAAATAGTCACTGGGAGAAAAATATTGTCACTGCACATCTAAGAACCAAAGGTGTGTGATATTTGATTATTTAAGTAATACTTTGTGCTTATACTATGCCCTTTATTCAGGAGTGCAAAGCACTAAAAAGTAAGCATTATTTACATGTTTAGAGTATACTGAGGCACAGGAAGTTTTACCAGGGCAAGATAAAAGCCAGGTTTTTAGACATAAAATGATTCAGAATTCCACATTTCCAGTTCCTTAAAATATAACTTAAATACTACCTTTAATGCCTCCACTTTATCAAACTTAAGTAGTTTACAATTATAGTTTAAGTTGTACACTCAAGTAGTGTGTGACAGGTAAAGCCCATAGATTTCCAACATGTTTAAAATAACTGGTATATTGACCAAGAAAGTTTGCTTTTTGCTTTAAAAAAATTCTTTTTAAAATAAATTAGATTGTTTGAGGGAAGTTCTGGAAATTCTTGCCTTGATTTTTCTGCTTCACCTGCCTACATTAATATAGGGACAATAATTTGTTCCTTAAATATATATTGCACTTCTAATCCTTTCCTCTCAAGATCTTCTCTTAGTGAACTGAGGTGGTGACTCATTAAAAACAAAATAAATTTTTGTGCAAGTACAAAATGGTTAATGTTAAGTTCAGTCACTAATCTCTGACATTAACTTGCTTAATTAAACTAAGGTAAAAAAGTACGAGGAAAAGTTCAAAACATCTTAAGGGATAAGTAGACAAATATTAGAAATGTGAGACAATAAAACAAAATATATGCTTCCAAAGCCTATTCCTAAACTTAAATCTATGCCTCATTTAACTACTAACATGACACCTTGAAACATAGAAGTCACTTTTCCTAAGTACAGTGGGCCAGCGTATTATAGGAAGCAGTCACTGCCAATTTTAGCTGCCGCAAACTGCTTAGTGTGTGTCTTAAAATGTTGACTCTTAAATTTGAGGAAAAATGCATAGATTCCTTTGAGAACCTAATAGAAGTCATGGATCCTTGCTTTAGAATACACAATAAGTACTGTTAAATGTCAAAAACCTATTGTGCATCATAGCACTGTTGATTCAATAAAATTAGACACGAAGAAAATTCATAGTTAATAAAGACTGTTCACTAACCTTAAGGAACGTTTTAAAAGTATGAGAAAGCCCAGTGATTATATCATTCTTTCATGTGCCTCTTTTGCTGGCTGTAATGTTGACTGGTTGATGGAAATGTGCCCCTAATCTAGCCTATAAATATTAAAAGCAAAAATGTTTGTGTTCTAAATGCTGCTAGCAGTATACATGTAACAATTTTCAAGTACTACAAAATACTGCGAAGGAAAGACTTTAATATACCACTATCAAATTCCTATATACTCAAACCAGCAATGAAATGTCTGAGTATAATTTGTTGCCTTGAGCAAAATATAAGAAAATAAAGACACGATAGCTCTAAATTCTTTATAATCTTCAAGGATGGGAAACCAGTATCTCTGAGAAGTTTGTTTGTTTTAATAGAATTGAACATTTAATTTTACCCCCACAGTAATCAAAGCAAACATTTTATCATTATTATTCTTGGTATATCAAACATTCCAGGAATGTAAGAAAATCTGACTTGGAAATATTACATAGAAAAAGGCTGAATTAACAAACACATTACATTTTTTAATTACTTCTTATAAGTATACATTGACATCTACTTATCTGATAGCACTGCTGCTTTTGAGTGAGTCTTTTTTTTCTTCCAGAGGGAATGGAGAATGGCAGTATTATCTTTTGAACAAATTAAGTAGACAGTAGCAAACAACAGAATAACTTCTACACATAAATTTTTCAAGGGCAATAAATAGTAAATATAATTATGGGAACATATGCCTCAAATATGCTTTGTAGAATTTCTCAGGATTTATTTATTTATTATTAAAATATACTGCACTATCACTACTATCTGGGGAAAAACAAACCCTGAAGTTTTAGTTTCCTCCTTCAACCAGAATGACAATAGTAAACCTGGCCCTATGGTTTGGCTCAGTGAATGGAGCATTGGCCTGTGCACTGAAGGGCCCCAAGTTCGGTCCCGAGTCAAGGGCACATGCCCGGGTTGTGGGCTCAATCCCCAGTAGGGGGGTGTGCAGGAGGCGGCCGATCAATGATTCTCTCTCATCATTGATCTTTCTATCCCCCCCCCTTTCTCTCTGAAATCAATAAAAATATATTTAAAAAAAAAAAGAGTAAACCTGGACTAAGGTCAATTTGTTTGAGCCAACAGAATTCTGCAGTACATTTGGTTACTTTACCAATGTATGCATATTCTGGGTTATTATCAAGAGACTCATCAAATATTTTATGTTAATGTTTTATACCCCAAACAGGTTCTCTGATGATTATCATGCTAGCATAGGAAATTTGAAGGAATAACAAATTGGTATAACATAAACAGACATGTAGTACACAAGACATAAAAGATAGAGCTTGACCCTGGATTTTTCCCTTAGAATAATTCCTTCCATAAATAAGACTTTACTTTTTACATGTAGACTAATCCTCTTGGATCATGGAGAATGGTAAGGACATAGCTTAAGCAATCTAGACCACTTTTTCTTTTTTTTCTTTTTTGTAGTCTATTGTCACCCAGACCACAAAAAACGTTCTCCAAGTGGATGCTCAGGTTAGACTGATGCTCTTACACAAACTTACTGAGGCTTAGCATGTAAATCACGTAACTACTTGCAGCAGCAATAGTCATTTCAAAAATGACTAAAACAAACTTTTAAATACAAAGCATATAAAAGTGACTATTAAGGATAGTTTTCCAAACTATATCTAGAAATACAGAAATACATGTGTTGCCTCATGATAAAGTTCAATAAATATTCTTTCTGAATCCTACAAACACTATAAGACGTTATAGGTTTATTTGGTTCTCATAAGTTAAAAAAATCTGATTGTTTTTATATAAATTCCTCCAACAGATTTCTACTACTGCTTTTTACTAGACTCAGAGATTATACTCTAACTTCCCTTCAGAAATGTGCTTTTTTGTTGGTTTTAATAAAGTATACTTAATTTTCTAGCAAATAAACATGATTTAAATTTTAAGGTTCAAGGTAATTCTAGAAAAAGGTAGACACTGAACTACTTGCTTTTCTACATCCTCATATTTACAAAGCCCAGCATCCACTGTGGTTTCCTTCTTACTCTCACTTATTACACGGCCAGTAAATAGTAGCTGTGGTCCAAGTTACCTATATTAAAGATTTCAAAATTCCTCAAAATTTCACAACACTACAAAGTCATAATATCTGATTTTGATAGGATATTAGTATTAGTATTATGTAATTTTTTGCTACTGGAAAAAAAAATACAAGTCTTTATTTTTTCTATCTAATTAAATTCGAGCTCCATGATCAGTTCTTATGATAATATCTAAAATGTACATTCCTAAAGAAATGTAAAGCTGTTTTAGGGCTGAACTAGTCCAATATACAATTAAGGATTATTTATTCCTGTTATTTTTTTTGTCTTTTTTTTTTTCCTTTTAAATCCCTATATTAAACCCCTGGTTTCTTGTGGATTAGATCATAATTTAATATTGAAAAATTAATTTCAGAAACTATTGTGCTAATATTTAGTTTTCAGGAAGGAATCAGACAAAATCAATTACCTCCATTCATTGTTAGAACAGAAGATAAAATAGCTTACTAACTGATATGAGTTATGAATGTCACTATGACACAAAATTTGCTGTGATTTGCTTATTTGGCTACAAGTGCAGTATTTTTCATGAATGACAACGCACAGCATTTCCAACTTGTAACACGAAACTCCAGCTCATAAATAGTGTACTGTGTGACTTGAAAAGTCTGATTATAAGTTAAGTAACAACCTTTCCCCTGAAAAACATGAACAAAATCCATTGGGAAATCAGGCACAGACGGTATTTATCGGTTTTTCTTCCTTTCCTCCTGTGGTTTTGTTTCTCAAGACATATAGATGGTTTCAATAGAATCCAACACTTGTTACAAAATAACACAGCTATTTTTTTCCTTTTCTTTTTCTTTATCTTTTTCTCGAGGTTCCTTTCGTTTACGTTCACTATTTCCAGATTGTCTTCCACTTGACGGAGAGGCTTGTGCTGGTTGGCTTTGCTTTAGAAAAAACAAACAAGAAGAAATTACCTCAACTTTTCTTAACTATGCTTAATCATAGTTATCTAGAAAGAAAAACCGCAAGAGTGAAAGAACTCATTAATGAAAAAAGAAGCTATTGGCATATAGCCTTGTTATGTTACATGGTATCTGGTAGTTGCCTCTACAATTCTGGATAGATATATAAATTATTCTAAGTAAAGAGAAATTTCAAACAATAAATGACGTCAAGTAAGATTATGTTGCCTGAAGTCTCAAATTCAAGAAATATTTATGTTAAAGTTTAGAGAATGTTAATGAAAGTGATACCATTTGGTAAACTACAATAGTTCTCTAAGCCCCCATTAACTACCATAATAAACAGATTTTCAAAGGAAAAAAAATATTGAAAACTGAGTGTGTGAAATAAGTGTATTCAGTGAAATAAGAGAAAAAGAAAATTTTTTTAAAATCCTCACCCAAGGATATTTTTTCCATTGATTTTTTAGGGGAAGAGATAGGGAAAGACAGAGAGAAACATCGATTGGTTGCCTCCTGTATGAGCCCCAGGGCCTGGGCTGGGGAGGAGCCTGCAACCAAGGTACGTGCCCTTGACCAGAATCACACCTGGAACCCTTTGTTCTGCAGGCCGACGCTCTATCCACTGAGTTAAACTGGCTAGGGCGAGAAAATTTTTAATGAAAAGCTAATCATAAATGTAGGTTTTAACTTTTAAGCTTGGGGTAGTCAATATTTGAGCTAGAAATAGATATGTTATACTTATTTTAATGGAGACCTCTATATTTATATCTTCATCAGCTCTTAAAGGACATCTCCCTTTCTTACAGTTTTGGCACGGTACAGTTAAACATAAAAAGGGGGATTTTTCCCCCCCATTTAATGCAATGAGATTTAACATATAGAAACCGACTTAACAGTCACATTTACAGTGCATAAAACATTCAACTGGGAAGAGTAAAAAGTGGGAAAGTGCTAATCTTGGTTGGATACTTAGTACATGCCAGACACTGGGTTTAGTTGTTCTCAACCACAAACCTAAGAGCTAAGTACTATCTCCTATTTTACAGACAGGGAAAATGAGGCTAAGAGGCAGATGACTTTGTCCAAGGTGTTACAGGAAATGCAAATCCACATCTACCTGACTCTGGAGCCTACATTCTTCCCGTAGTAGCTCACACTGCCCTCTGATTGACAGAAAAGACTGTTTAAATTGGTTTATATTCTGTGCAGCTATTAATAACTTTAAAAAATAAATCTGAAAACTCTTGTCATCAGAACCTTATGAAAAATAACTTCAGTAAATGAGAAAAATAGTAAGATAACCACAAAAATAGGATAATGTTATAAAACCTAATGGGCGCTAAAATGCTTACATAATTAAAGAGTCAATATATAATTTAAAAATGTTTATCTCAGCACAAATTTCTTTATTGTTAAAGTGATCATTGTGTTTAAGAATGAGAACAGTTTTCACCTGAGCCTGGGTAGAAGCAGAAGTAGAAGCAGCAGCAACTGCTGCTTGTTCCTGTTCCTGGTAATATTGGGAAGCCCGTCTATCCTCTTCTTCTTGGAGTTTCTTTGCGAGTTCCAAATCACTGATTCCTTCCGGTGCTTGTTCCCAATTGATCTCTTGGCTCTGCTGTTCTTGTTGTAGAGATAATGCCATAAGATAGTCCTAAGAAATGAAATTATAACCATCTTTAGCTATGAGACATTACCCAAGAACTAATGAGTGTAAATATAGAGGTTATAACTATAAAACTAAGGATGGCTTTTTAAAAACATACCAGAGCTTAAATATAAAAACAAAAGTTATCTAAGTGCTTCTGCTTGGGCCCTAGCTGGTTTGGCTTATTAGATAGAGCGTCAGCCTGAGGACTGAAGGGTCCCAGGTTCGATTCCAGTCAAAGGCATATGCCCAGGATGTGAGTTCAATCCCCAGTAGGGGACGTGCAGGAGGCAGCCAATCAATGATTCTCTCTCATCATTGATGTTTCTATCTCTCTCTCCCCTCTCCCTTCCTCTCTGAAATTAATTAAAAAAAAAAAAAAAGTGCTTCTGCTTGGGAATATTAACTTATTTCAGTGATGCTACTATTGTTCTAAATGTTTTTGGAATTCATCTGAAATTCTTTCTAGAAGAAGTATATAAGGCATTAGAGAAAACTTAAAAATGTTGCCCCTGCCTGGCTGGTTTGGCTCAGTGGTTGAGCATCACCTATGAACCAGGAAGTCATGGTTCAATTATCAGTCAGGGCACATCCCCAGGAGGGGGTATGCAGGAGGCAGCTGATCAATGTTTCTCTCTCATCGATGTTTCTATCTCTCTATCCCTCTCTCTTCCCTTCTCTCTTAAATCAATTTTTAAAAAATCTTATCTGTCTCAGTTCTAAATGGGAATTCTACTCACTAATCTACTCTTTCTACTCACCTACACTTTATCCAGTGCATGCTATCTTCAAGACTCCCTCTTTTATATGTTTTCTAATTAGCCAAAATTATCTCAACCATGTACTCATCTCTTCATCTCTATCATCTCTTGCTTGGACTACTAGTCTCTACTTATACCTGTGTCCTTCCTCTGTATTCTCCACCTCACAACCTTTTAAAAAGGTGAAGTAGTTCATGTCACTTCCATGTGATATACCTGGCATATCTTCCCTACCACAATGAAATAAAATTCAAACTCTTTACCATAACCATCACAGTTCTCTATGATCTGGCCTTCTGAACCAAAGTGTACAATTAATATGCATATAGAATGACGACCTATCTATTTAGGAAGTGTCAGAAAAATTACATAAGTATATTAATGAATAAATCTTTGTTCAAAAGTTTTGGATAACTAAATTTGTATTTGAAAGGAATGAACATTTTAAATAATATGAAGAAATAAACAAATTTACCTGATCGATCTGATCTTGTTGTCCTCTGTATACAGTTTCAGGATCTGAAGGAGGCCGCAGATGAAAATCTGAGTCACAGAAATTTCCATCACCATCAACATTATGAAGGCTTTCCCAAACAATTTTTTCTTCAGTAAGAAACCCCTGATCTGTTACCAGCAAATACAGTAGACCCTTAATAAGAAATAACAAAAGAAAAAAAGACTGATAAATTGGTAAAAACTAGTTAATACTTATTTTTAATATGTTTCTATTGATTTTAGAGAGATTGGAAGAGAGACAAACATCGATAAGGGAGAGAAACATCAATGGGCTGCCTCCTGCACGCCCCCTACTGGGGATTGTGCTCACAAGCCAGGTGTGTGCCCTGACCCGAAATCAAACCGGTGACCTTTTGGTTATGGGAGGATTCTCAACTGAGCCACACCGGCCAGGCAAAACTAATTAATATTTAAGAGAAATCTTATAATCTGTATGCATAAAGCATATTAATTACTCCTACTAGTTAGATCTGTATAACATAATAAATAGTAGACCAAGTAGATATATTATTTGCTCACTGAATTAAATCTAGCTGGCTTTGAATATAGTTTATAATAGGTACACTATAGTATAATGAAAAATTATACTATAATTTGAGGAGCTCCTGGCATGTTCAACAAGTAAATGACTTATAAATAGCCTTTGGGGGCGGGGGGAGGTTACAATCTCATTTCACAAAATAGAAAAATACTATACAAGTTCCTAAAAATACATCAGGTAATAAATAAGACACAGTCATAATAAAATGATATCACTCTGCCTATAGTCATAAGCCAATACGGCTAATCCAATCCATATCAATTTTTCCTTTCTCTGTACCAACAGTACTTTGTACCTGTTTCTATTGTAGCACTGAATCACACTATACAATAATTGTGTTTTTCTGCTTTATTCCCCAGACTATATGTTTTAATCTTTATATCTCTGGCCCTTAGTGTAGTGTACTCATAAAATTGAATCAATCAACTTTATTGAATCAATCAATGAACTCATATTAATAGTCACTACCAAAGAATTTAGCATTGATCTTTAATTTTTCATATGTATTAGTTCTGATTCCAATCATGTGTAAGTGTCCCTAGTATACACATAAGGATTGTAAGCCATTTTTCTTCAGATTTGCCAAAGATATCACTTTCATTTACCTGTTGAAAGTTCCTACTGGTTAATACAGTGTTTATTACCAGAGCTTAAATATAAAAACAAAAGTTATCTAAGTGCTTCTGCTTGGGCCCTAGCTGGTTTGGCTTATTAGATAGAGCGTCAGCCTGAGGACTGAAAGGTCCCAGGTTCGATTCCAGTCAGTGGCACATGCTCAGGATTCGAGCTCAATCCCCAGTAGGGGACGTGCAAGAGGCAGCCGATCAATGATTCTCTCTCATCATTGATGTTTCTCTCTCTCTCTCCCCTCTCCCTTCCTCTCTGAAATTAATTTTTAAAAAAAAAAGTGCTTCTGCTTGGGAATATTAACTTATTTCAGTGATGCTACTATTGTTCTAAATGTTTTTGGAATTCATCTGAAATTCTTTCTAGAAGAAGTATATAAGGCATTAGAGAAAACTTAAAAATGTTGCCCCTGCCTGGCTGGTTTGGCTCAGTGGTTGAGCGTCACTTATGAACCAGGAAGTCATGGTTCAATTATCAGTCAGGGCACATCCCCAGGAGGGGGTATGCAGGAGGCAGCTGATCAATGGGGAACAGTTTAGGCAGCTGACCATACTTTGCATATTCTCTCTTATCATCACAATTAATCTTAATAAGTTAAGAATAAGAAATTCCTTTAAAGAGGTTGGTGGTGTGGGTAGAGAAATTACTGAATTAATTCTGAAGCTTTAAAAACTAAGTAATTATTTTTAAACATTTATTATATGTCCAGCACTGTGGGACATAGCTCTTCCTAAAGCACAAACTCTTTCCTGTTGTCTACTAGCAGTTTACATTCTAGAGTTAGCTGTAGATAGCGATAGTGATTGAAATTACTATAATAATATGGAAAGTATTTATAAAGAAAAACATTTTGATATAAAGTTTAAAGACATTGTTTTAAGCAAAAATTAACTCCAGATTTATACTTTAAAAAAAAAATCAGATATGTTTCAATTCACCAAATATTTAAATGCCCATCATATGCTCAGCACTATGCTAAGTGCTTGAGGATTCATATCATAGAAAGTAATGATCCTACCTTAATCTGGTATTAGGTGCCCCTTTTACATGATTCCATAGAAACCTGCTCTTTCCACTTTATACAATGAATTGTAGTTGCCTGCTTACTTACTCATCCCTCTGAATACATTTCAAGCTCCTTGAGAGCCAAAGCCATGGTCATCATTATCTAACCTATTTTTAATACCCAGTTAGGGTCTACCTTGTCCTAGGATAATTTAAGAGAAAAAATAAAGTTCTTTCCAGCCAATTTTCTACTGAATAGATCTGATCTTTCTGTTTACACTTATCACAATACATTTCAACAAACCATTATATTATACAATATTTAGGCTTTATAATTTAGTTTATGTAGATCATATAATGATTGGCTGTGTGCTAGGGGAAGAACCATAATCTTATCAATAATTTTTTTCCCAAATGACACTTTAGGGTAGGTAATTTCTAGGAGGGTTTCCCTTAAAGCTGTTATCATCCAGCGCATATGAATATTTATACACTTTTATCTAAAAGGGTATCCCATTCCTGGTATAACTGACCTGTCTTCTCAAGGACCATCAGCCTCAATTTCTTCCTCTTTTAGATCTTGACATTTATCGAAAAGGTCTGTAACTGGTCCACTGTCAACAATGCTGATTATTACTCAACAGTTCCTTTATATAAATTGCAGTGTAGAATAGCAAAGTATGTATTAGTATCGTACTGAACAGTTTAGGCCCATTTTTCCCGAGAGTCTACAGTTAAATTACCATCAAGAATACTTTTTGCCTTTATACCCACAATCACTTTTGCTGCATTATCTAGTCAAAGCTTTCTTTTCTAAGCTTTGAATCTTCCTTCTAATCTCATTCACCAGTCTCTAAAATACTAATTTCATAAAAAATAATAGAGAAAGCATGTATTAAATTCTTAAATTATTTATTAATGTATAAATTTTATAAAAATGATAAAGAAATGACATTAAATAATTTTTATCATTTTATAAAATAGGCAATTGGATAACAAAAGAAAACTGGTAATATCATCATAAATTAGTTGTATACAGAGTATGAATAACATAGTGAGAATATCATCACAAATTATAAATTGATAAAATAAAACTTGGCAAATGTAATAAAAAATTAAGTAATTCCAGCCATTAAAATATGGAGAAAAGCACTGCCTGAATAGTTTTGGTTAACTAGTTTGGACTGAAATTACTTAATACCTTTGAACTTTAGTTTTCTTTTCTCATAAAGTGATATAGAGACATTAAGATCAGAAAATTTTTAAGATATTATAAACTGAAAGATGAATATTACTCCTACTTAACAAACATAAATCTCATCCACAAATACATCTACCCAGAGAGGCAAAGCTGTTGAAAATGTGGGCTTGAAGTCAGGTTGGGGCTGCTTACAAGCTGAGTGGTCTTGGGCAAGTAACTTAGGGCCTGTAAGCCTATTCTTTCAGCTGTAAAGTAATAAGAGAGTAATAATATTCACATCTCATAGGGGAGTTGTGCAAATTAAATAAGATAATGAATATAAAGTGGTTAGCACAATGCAAGACACATGGTGCTTAATAAATATAAAGTATTATATTCATAAATATCACCTAAATTTATCTCAGTTTCTGTATCTATCTCCTTCTCCTGTCTCCTATTTGAAAGAAAAAGATAAATCTCTTGGCCTGTACTGTGGAATTTATTACTTTCCTTATTTTTTAAAAAAAATATATTTTATTGATTTTTTACAGAGAGGAAGGGAGAGGGACAGAGAGTTAGAAACATCGATGAGAGAGAAACTTCCATCAGCTGCCTCCTGCACACCTCCCACTGGGGATGTGCCCGCAACCAAGGTACATGCCCTTGACCGGACTCGAACCTGGGACCTTTCAGTCTGCAGGCTGATGCTCTATCCACTGAGCCAAACCGGTTAGGGCTACTTTCCTTATTCTTTTTCCACATTTCTGTATCCACTGTCCCCATAAAAAAATAAAAATAAAAAACGTGACCATTTTTTTAAAAGTATGTATTTTTATGGATTTCAGAGAGGAAGGGAAAGGGAGAGAGAGATAGAAACATCAATGATGAGAGAGAATCATTGGTTGGCTGCCTCCTGTAAGTCCCACACTGGGGATCGAGCCCGAAACCTGGGCATGTGCCCTGACAAGAAATCGAACCCTGATCTCCTGGTTCATAGGTTGATGCTCAACCACTGAGCCACACCACTTGGGCGAAAGTAACAATTTTTGATGCATCAACCACCTTTTAAAAATAACTAAATTAAATAAATATTTATTTAAATGTAGTCTTCTGTGGAAAACAAAATTCCCACTATAGTCTTAGTCAAAGAAGAAAGAGAATGGGCAAATTTATTTCTTTAACATGGCTTTAGTACTTATCTACAATTGTATCTTCTCCTAAACTAATCTTCACTTCTAATCTCTAAATGGAAAGTTAAAGCAAACAAACAAAAGCCAACCTCAAAAACCCTGGTTTTGAATATACTCCAGAGAGATGTCAGTAATTTGAAGCCAACAGGTAGAAGGAACAATTATGACGTGGACATAAAGTTGATACTTCATAAAAGAATGATCAAGAGGGAGACATGTCATTCTATATACCAAAGACCTAGAAACTAGGTGATCTGCAATCGAGGGCCAAGGAATCAGTAGTCTATCTTACTTGAGAGCAAGCAGAAAGTACTGGAGAAGTGGAGGAGGATCATAAAACAAAACAGGATAAATAGATCTTGGAGATAGAATAATTAGTCATGATCATATGAGAAGCAAAACAGAATGTTTCTAGGAAAAAGGTAATTTATTTAAAACTCACTTTTATACTGTCAAGTTTCCTGCCTGTATAAAAAGTCACCTCACCATCTAGAACCAGAGGAACAGCCCTGAGAACATCTGTTCTCTTAGTAGGGTCTCCTCCTGCTGCTTTCAGATACTAATCTAGTTATGCTGATAAAAAGCACACATCTTCATAGTAGAACATACTCAGTGTGGTTTTGCCATGATGATCTGTCCAATTCAATTGTATAAGATTAAGTGGAAGTACATGGAGCAAGGTAACAAGTGGTAGCAGAAATTGGAGATGTGTGTATTTGCTGCCAATGGACAGATGAGGGATGAATAGTTTAATCAAGGATTAAGGAGAGTGCTATTACAACTAATAACTAACAAGAGCTGGACTTGATTACTTTGCTAGTAATAGAGGAAACAGCAGAGGTACTTGCCCAGAGTTTAGGAATAGTAAACCACAAAACTAGGAATGATCAGAGGACTTTTCAACAGGAAGTCAATTAGTATCTGTGGTCAGAGAAAATGTCATGAGAAGCTGTGCAACTAAAACCATAGGAGGTCATACTGTGTTAGACAGTTAGAAAATGTGAGATTGATTGGTAGATATTACACCGGGGGGCGGGGGTCAATTTGATCAACACATCCATTGTGACTCTGTAATGGCAAAAGGCCTAATGAAAAGTCTATGGAGCCCCGCTGGTGTGGCTCAGTTGGTTAAGTGTTATCCCATGCACCAAGAGGTTGCTGGTTCGATTCCCAGTCAGGGCATATATGATATGATATGATATGGGTACCAGAAAGCATAAAGATGCTTTTCGCAAATTCTAATACAAATAAGCTCCACTAATAAAATAATAAGTTTGTAGATATTTATGACTGATTGTCAATTTATTATTATAGGCCCCTAGTTACAGACACCATTTATCAGTAGTAGAAAGAATTCTATCCAGCTAGGCCAGAGTAGCTCTCAGCCGGTTGGGCATCCTCTCATGCACCGAAAGGTGGCCAGTGCAATTCCCAGTCAGGGCACATGCCTGGGTTGTGGGTTCGATCTTTGGTTGGGGCACGTGCAGAAGACAGCCAAATGATGTTTCTCTCTCACATCAATATTTTTCTCTCCTTTCCTCTCTCTAAGCATGCCCTCAGGTGAGGATTAAAAAATATTCTATCTGGATATTAAATTTATTTTATTGTTGAAAGTATATCTGAATTCTGTGGGATGAACTATGTTTATAGTTCATCAGAAAGACAGGAAGTAAAGTGATCATTAAATATGAATGCATAAAATGACCCTAAAATCTTCAAAAGTGCAATGTTAAAAGACATTATGAAGATCTAATGCAGTATTAAATGTAGCCTTACCTTATTTGAAAAAGCAGCTTTCTGCTTTTTTTCTTACTTGTATCATTATTAGATCACAGATTCCCCGGCCCTCAAGTTCATAAACAACTACAAAAACTCAAACAACCCAGGAATCAGTAGTAGAGAATAATGGTTTTAATGTTTAATAGGTTTAACAAAACAAGGGAACAATTTTCCATCATATTTCCTTAGTAAGCAAATGGATACCATTTTGTTTTTATTTTTTAAAATATATTTTTATTGATTTCAGAGAGGAAGAGATAGGGAGAGAGAGATAGAAACATCAATGAGGAGAGAGAATAACTGATAGGCTGCCTCCTGCACTCTCCACACTGGGGATTGAACCTGTAACCCGGGCATGTGCCCTTGATCGGAATTGAACCAGGCCCCTCTCAGTCCGCAGGCCGACACTCTATCCACTGAGCCAAACTGGCTAGGGCTTGATACCATTTTGGAGGAACCCCTTCCTAAGTTTTATTAAATGTTCCGTTAGGGCTTCTAGTTCTACAGCAACAGCCAAAGAAGTGTAGATTTTATTGTAAATCCAGTTAATTAGTTGCTAGATCAATGAGGAGGGAAAAGTGTCTCTGACTCTTCTAAGCAATGTACTCACTGGGTACTCTGCCAGAAGTAAAGCAGTGTCTTATTTAAAGACTGTTAGGATTGCAATTATAGTTCTTTTTTTTTTTTTAAACTGTATTGTTGAGAGTATTACAGATGTCCCTCTCCTCCCCCCACTCCCCCTTCCACCAGGTTCCCGCCCCACCCCAGGTCCAATAGGAATGTAGGAAATAGGATGGAGAGGATTATAATGGGGGCATAAATAAATAGCACAAAGGCCCATAAGACCCCTGGAAAACACAAGATTTACATCATATTAAAATGGAGTTAATTCACCAAATGTATGCATGGTCCTTGATGAGAGCCTGGTTTGAACAAATCGACCATAAAACTACATGGGGACAAATGGGAAATCTGAATATGGACTGGGTATTAGATTATATTAAAAATTATAGTTAATTTTGTTAGATGAAACAATGGTACTGTGATTTATCTGAATGGAAATGTTCTTGTTTAAATATGTATATTGAAATATAAGCAAAAAGATGAAAATAGTATCATGTCAAAATTGTTTAAAAAGATGAGTATAACAGGCACACATTAAATTAGTCTTGTTATTTTTCCGTAAGTTTGCAATTTTTCATAAAAACAAAACAAAACTCAAAAAACAGTGTTCCTAGGAGACATATGTAATACTCTTTGTAATACTTTAAGCAATAAAACAAAATTAAAAAAAACAAACAAAAAAACAGTGTTACTATTTCAGCTTGGCTGTCAATACAGTAAACAATGGCATTTCCCCGAGTGACTGGCCACCAGGATAGTTGTTCCCACTTATCCCTTCTATATAAATAAGATCACCTTAATGAAGGATAGTATTTTATTTGCTCTATACAATATTTATAAGTTTGAACAATATCAGCATGTTCATAATACCATCATGTCCCTGAATTTCTTTGCTCTTCTACTCTTTGTTGCACCCACTTACAAAGTCCCAAATCTAGAATAACAAACTAGCCACCTTCTCCATGAATGTATTCTGACAGATACTCCTGCAAAAAAATTACACAAGTAATAATTACCATTCCCAACAATGTCTGGTGATTCTTCTTAATTTCTCTCCTTACAGCTTTCTCCCACATGCTATAAAGACTACTTCAAACTTTCCTTCTATGAAACCAAACCGTCCCACTCAGTCTCAGTAAATGATCTTGCCTTCCACATAACAAACAAAAGCATTCACAGTAATTTCCTCTACTTCCTGCCACCAAATCTGTAAATCTCCCTGTAGCTATACTCATAGTCTATTTTTTCTCTCCTTTACAATGAAGAGGTCTTTTTTTTTTTTTAATTGATTTCAGAGAGGAAGGGAGAGGGAGATATAGATAGAAACATCAATGATGAGAGAGAATCACTGATTGGCTGCCTCCTGCATGCCCCACACTGGGGATTGAGCCCGAAACCTGAGCACGTGTCCTTGACTGGAATCGAACGCGGGACCCTCCAGTGTGCAGGCTGACGCTCTATCTACCGAGTCAAACCAGCTAGGGGTGAAGAGGTCTTTTTTAAAACAAGGGTCAATCTCCTTCACCTGTGAACATTCCTATCCTTTTGCACTCTCTTAGGAGCCTCCCAACATCAAATACCCCTCTCCTAAATCCTTATCCTTTCTCTATTGAGTCCGTCTATATTTAAACATGATTAAGTCTCTCATATTAAAAAATAAAAAACACCCCCTGGATTCCAATACAGCTATGAGCCATTATGTCTCTGCCCGCTCCCGAACTGTTTCAAATAGGTGCTTAATCTGTTTCTAGTTTCTGACATCCCAAGCATTTATTAACCAATTCAAATTGAGTTTTTCCTGCTGCCACCATTCTCTAAGATACCAATGAAATCCATATCGTTAATGGGCTCTTCTCCAGTATTCTCTCACCACCATTTAATAACTGAGATCTCCATTCTTCTTGATACACTATCTTCCTTTTGGCTTACATGATGCTATATTCTTTAGATTTTCCTTTTATTTTTTTCTTTCTCAGTCTCCTTTGCTAGTTCATACTCCTCTAGCTAATCCTTAAATGTTGGCACTCCTCAAATCTGTCCAAGGCCCTCTCTTTTAGTCTCATGCCATATTTTTCTTGTAAATCTCCTCCTATGCCAAAATTACTATTTGTACACAAAAATTATTCCAGTCTTGAACCATTTTCCCAACATTTCCACTTGAAGCAATGCCTCAGATGCCTCTGAAGTAACAATTAAATAGCTAATCCAGTGATGACGAACCTTTTGAGCTCGGCGTGTCAGCATTTTGAAAAACCCTAACTTAACTCTGGTGCCATGTCACATATAGAAATTTTTTGATATTTGCAACCATGGTAAAACAAAGATTTATATTTTTGATATTTATTTTATATATTTAAATGCCATTTAACAAAGAAAAATCAACCAAAAAAAATGAGTTCGCGTGTCACCTCTGACACGCATGTCATAGGTCCGCCATCACTGAGCTAATCCATTCTATTCTAAAAAAGTATTTAATAATTACCTTCATAATTTGATGGTTAAGGAATATTATGCTAAATTTTTTTATTTTGAAGTAGATAAGACATTTCTAAATCAAGTTCCTTTAATTTCAATTAACAAACAGTTATTTCTATATCATACCTTGTATTTGGTCATGGTGCTAAAATGATTATTCCGAAAGAACACACAAAGTTCTCCTTCCTGAACTGTTGAAGTTAGTTCACATAATCCATGGTATGTCAGTTGAGTGGCTGTGTTATTTAGAAACTGCTCAGCTACAAAGCCTATGGAACCAATGCACAATATTAGATGGAAGAATAATTTCAAAATTAAAAAAGTTTTTCTATTTACATTGTGTTAAAGTATGAAGAAAGGCCAGTCAGAATAAAACTTCTCCTACGATAACATGATGGCCCCAAATTGGAGATTCTACCTTTTTATTTTAGAAGATGTGTCTATAGACATCCCCATCCTAAAGAAAACAGTCACATGAAATTCTTTTTATTAATTAATGTATTTATATATACTTTACCTACTTCCAAAAAGGATTTCAGGCACCTTGCAACAAAACACATAGATACAGTAAAACTAAAACTCACTAAAACAAAAAGGCAAGAGTTAGCAATTTAAAAAGTGCATAGGAGCCTGGCCAGCGAGGCTCAGTGGTTGAGCATTGACCTATGAACCAGGAGGTCACGGTTCGATTCCCGGTCAGGGCACATGCCCGGGTTGCAGGCTCGATCCCCAGTGTGAGGCGTGCAGGAGGCAGCCAATCAATGACTCTCTTTTATCATTGATGTTTCTATCCCTCTCTCTGAAATCAATAAAAAAAATATTTTTAAAAAAGTGAATAGGAGTAAAATATGTATGTCAACAGCTCCTTCCCCAATAATAGGTTTTTCAAAATTAAAAGTAGTCTTAACAAATTGAGTTGCTTAAGATTTTAATAAAGGTCCCAGATAATTTGAAATTTACAAACTGCTCAATTCTTGCCTTAAAACTAAAAGTAGGCATAAAAATGAAGAGAAAACAGTGGATAACTGATGCCATTTTATCCTAATCTCCTCCAACATATGCCACTCTATATCTATCTATCTATCTATCTATCTATCTATCTATCTATCTATCTATCCATCCATCCATCTATATCAAGTTCAGAAATAGAAGTGATCTTTTGTTTTCAAAACATAATGAAATATACAAGTTTTCTGCGATTTAATTTAAAAGACATGTATAGTTGAGCCTTGCTAATGACCAAATTTGCCTACTAGCTAAAATTTATTAACTCCAAAATCAATACTTGCTGTGCACTTTCAGGGTCATTCCTGGATATGTGCAAAGCTGCAAAAAATTGAGTCACCAAAAAAAATAAAAATAAATAAAAAATTGAGTCACCAAACATGCACATTCCCCACTGAGATCAAACAAGGCAACACTAGGCCTTGTTTCAGCTCTCATACTGTGAACAAGTGTCCTTTTCACAGTCTATGGAGTGCCACATTCTTCACATTTTTGTGCTTTTGGTGGAGTGATTTTTACTGTGTAAAATGGCCCCCAAGCGTGACGCTGGAGTGTTAACTGGTGCTCCTAAGTGCACAAAGTCTGTGATGTGCCTATGGAGAATAAACAAATTTTTATAGCTTTGTCCAGGTGAGTTATAGTGCTGTTTGCCATGCATTTAATGTTACTGAATCAACCATATAGTATATTGAATAAGATGTCTCTAAACAGAAATGCACATAAAACAAGGTTATATATTTATCAGTTGATGAAAAGCTTGTGACTAAAGGCTCACAGGAACCTAATCTTGTGTTTCCCGTAGGAGCACTGGTTTAGTATTCACTAATTCAGTGTTCATAGCAACTTTATAGAACAGCGATTTTCAACTGGTGTGCTCAAGAATTTTTAAAACATGCAATACCTGCCCTGGCCAGTGTCGCTCAGCAGTTAGAGTGTCGGCCTGTGCAAGAGTCGCTGGCTTGATTGCCAGTCAAGGGCATGTACCTGGGTTGCCCCCGGTCGGGGCACATGCTGGAGGCATGTGTGTCTCTCTCACATCGATGTTTCTCTTTCTCTCTCTGTCTTTCTCTATCTCTCCCCTCCTTCCTCCCTCCCTTCCACTCTTGAAAAAAAAAAGAAAAAGGGCAATGGAAAAAATATCCTCAGGTGAGGATTAACAAAAACAAAACAAAACAAAAACATGCAATACCTGACTATTTAATCAGGGGCACTGACCTTTTTTCCCTTAGATTGTCAAGTAAAAAAATGATAACAGCCAACACAATAGCCGTCCAGTATGAATGAATGAAAATTATATCAGATTGGCAAAAAATATTTTTTTGGCGTGCCACAGAATTTTAGCAATTAGTTTATATGTGCCATGAGATGAAAAAGATTGAAATTCGCTGTTACAGAACGTAACTACTGGGAATAATGAAAAGCAACTGTATATATATTTTAAAAGCCTGTATTTCTCTTCTTCTGATCTTTCTCTTCTTCCTTTTGTTCCCTTTCTGAAGAAGAAAAGTCTCAGAAACAATAAGGAGGAAGAGAGTGCTCTAAAACAGCGGTCGCCAACCTTTCGGATCTCACGGACCACTGGTTGGCGACCGCTGCTCTAAATAAAGTTTCCTAAGTGAGTAGAGAGGTGCAAATACAGGGTGTTAATAAACTGACACCTCAACAAGAAATTGAAAATAAACTTGGAAGGGCCAAGGCAGCTGGAGAGTATAGGTTTATTCCACTAACTCTCCATCCCTCACCCTTATTATCAAGCCACACCAAGTCAAGCTGCAAAGTGGTTGTAAAATGTTATCCATATATCACACTATTCCAAAGAATTGTGTAAGGCAGGCGGGGAAATGCAAAATTGTTATATAGAAGGCCACAGCCAAAGGAAATTTATAGCACATTTGCAACTTCTGAGGTTTATACATTTAGAAATAGTCACCTCCCTCAATTATTATTATTACTTTGCTAAGTACTAAATTACTGAGTAGAATGGGTGTGTTATATACTAAAGCACTTAATATTATATAGCATTTTAAAAATAAGTAGATGCCTGTGCTGAGAGGTACCACTGACGCATTACCAAACCCTTCCTTCAGAAAGATGTTTCTAAATGGGCCTCCCACAACTCACTCACCCAGTATGCATCTACAAATCCTTCAAGAAGACACAAAAATTCAATGGAAATACAGCACATTCTCTCTGAAAAATTCAACACTAGAAAGGTCTTTCTTGATTTCTTTCTATAGAACAGGACAGAGGCTCAGAGAGAATGACTTTATCAAGGACAAAATTACTTATGGGAAAGACTGAAACCCAGGAGAATTGTTGGTATTAAGTTTAAACATTTAGTGCTTATGTCCTGGCTGGTGTGGCTCAGTTAATTGGGCATCGTCCCATGCACCAAAAGCACACATACCCGGTTGCAGATTTGATCCCAGTCAGGGTGCATGTGGAGGCAACCAATCGGTATTTCTCTCTCACATCAATGGTTCTCTCTCTCTCTCTCCCCTTCTCTTTCAAAATAATACTAATACGAATAATAATAATAAATAATTTAGTGCTTATTATTATAAATGCAAACTGAATTGTATTTCTTCCCAAACCATAAAGCAGGGTAATTTGGACATACAGAGAGCAATGTTTCCTAATTCTTCTACCAACTCTTAAACAGTGACACTCCTGTGATTTTAGTGGAATATTAAAAAACCTAATCTAGTTTCAACTTTTCATAACTAATTAAACAAATTTTGGCAAACAATTCTAAGCATTACATAGCAGTTTATTTATCTGCATTGCTTCAAATGACAAATAGTTTATTTGCAATATTTAGATTAAATTTCAATTTTGTTATTAATGATAATAAAGTAGGGTGAAAATTAATATAATGGTAACAATAAGATAATATCACTGAAAATAAATTTAAATTAGAAATTATTTTCCTGAGAGGGGTTGGGAAGGGTTGCCATGGTGCGTGCCTGGGCCGCTGGCCATGTGACTAGGCCTTCTAGTGTGGGTGCTGCTATTCGCAGTGACTCCAGAGCAGCCTCACTTTGTTGGTCTGAAGATAACCCTGGGAGCTGAGGAAGTTGCTTAGAAGTTCCGCTGGGGATGCTCTGGGGAAGACTGGCTGCCAAGGCAGCTCCAATGCAAAGGTCGCCATGGATCAGAACAATAGCGTGCCACCCTACACTCAAGTCCTGGCCTCCCCTCAGGGCACATGACTCCTGGAATCCCTAGCTTTAGCCCAATGATGCCGTATGGCACAGGGCTGACTCCACAGCCCATTCAGAACACCAACAGTCTGTCCATTCTGGAGGAGCAGCAAGGGCAGCAGCAGCAAAGGCCTAGCAGGTGAATCAGGAGCCTCAGGACAGACATTCAGCTCTTCCACTCACAGACTCTAACGACTGCAGCCATGTCGGGCACCACGACCCTGTACCCTTCACCCCTAACCCCCACCACACAGCCCTCTGAGAGCTCGGAGATCATGCCACAGCTGCAAAATACTGTATCCACAGTGAATCTTGGTTGTAAACCTGACCTAAAAACCATTGCACTTCGTGCCTGAAATACTGCATATAATTCCAAGCGGTTTGCTACTGTGATCATGAGAATAAGGGAGCCCCGGACCACAGCCCTGATCTTCAATTCTGGGAAGATGGTGGGCACCGGTGCCAGGAATGAAGACCGGTCCAGACTAGCAGGAAGAAAGTATGCCAGAGTTGTACAGAGTTGGGTTTCCCAGCCAAGTTTTTGGACTTCAAGATACAGAACATGGTGTGGAGTTGCAATGTGAAGTTCCCCACAAGGTTAGAAGGCCTCATGCTGACCCACCAACAGTTCAGTAGTTATGAGCCAGAGTTATTTCCTGGTTTAATCTACAGGATGATCAAACCCAGAATTGTTCTCCTTATTTTTGTTTTGGGAAAAGTTGTATTAACAGGTGCTAAAGTCAGAGCAGAAGTTTATGAAGCCTTTGAAAACATCTACTCTATCCTCAAGGACTTCAGGAAGACAACGTAATGGCTGTTTTGCCCTCCCAACCTCTAGTTTTAAAAACTCATCAATTCTGGTACATTTAAGTGGTGGTGTTGAGGGTAGCCTGGGTCTGTGTGGATTGCAGCCTGCACATGCGCCTGTCTTACTGTAATGGCTGCACTGTGCTGACAGTCTACTTTGATTTTAGATTTAGATTTTAAACTCTTACTGCTGTTGACAAATTGGTTTAAGAAACAAAACTTTGGTGTTAAAGCCACCTCTACAATTGACTGGACTTTTAATTTTGTTTGCTTTCTTCCTCCTAAACCACAGGTTTTATATTTCTACTAGAAAAGTAAAAATGTTTTTTAAAACTGTTGTTTTTCTAATTTGTAAGTCCAGAATTTATTTTTGTGCCAGACACATTCCTCCTTCTCAGGACTGCAGGAAAGAACAGATGTATTAATGAACACGAACGGCTGTAAATATTTCTCTTCCTCTGTACAATAAATGCTGTTTATAAAAGTGTTAGGTTGATGTTATAAATGATGACTTGTAAGATTTATGTGATCATACTGTTTTTAAATAAGCCAAGTTTCCTTTTACCTTATTACCTCTTTTTGTTCCTTTTTGCCTAATTTTAGTGTCCCTCTTTTTAATTTCACATCCTTTAAGGCACTCAGTACTTTCATCTTCTCTAATAGCTCTTTAGTAATAAAGGAAAATCATTTTGATAAACTAATTTAGTGTTGAATTTCTGAAACTAAGAGATATTTTCAAACACTAATGTCAGAAAAATAATTTTTTGTGTATGTTCAGGCATTATATCTAAAATATAATCACCTTTTGGATATTTTATTGATTCAAAAGGAAAATTACAGTTGTAGGCTAAATAGAAAAGAGAGCAAACTACTACTTCAGTTGAAAACTATACTCAAGAAAATATGATGAAGAAAATGACGGAGGGAAGCTAACTGCTACATTATAAGTAAAAATGTCCATTGTGGCCTCTTCTTTTATATATGACTAGAGGCCCAATGCACGAAAGACTGCAGCGGGCCTAAGCTGCAGTCTGGCCTCCCTCTGTGGGAGGAGACCAGGCTGATCAGGGGAAAGCACCGTCCCATTCACCCTGCTGCTGCTGCCACTGCCAGCCGCGGCGGCTGTAAGGCCTGAGCCCTGGGCCTCGCAGCTGCCTGAGCACACAGGAGATGTTTCTCCTCACAGCTAACTGAGCCCATGGCTGCCTAAGCCCATGGCTGCTATGAGCCCCGGGCCTCGCAGCCACCAGGGCTCAAGGCTGCTGTGAGCCCCAGGCCTCACAGCCACTGTGGCTTTGTCTGGATGGATGTTTGCCCTAATTAGCATATTACTCTTATTAGTATAGATTTCTTAGTGTCTTATACAAGTAACCATTGGAGTTAAACAATTATTTCAAGTAGACTACACACTTGTAGTTTCTTATAAAAAAAAACCTAGTTTAGCTTTTTAATGATAGTGAATTCTATATATAATTATTGCTTGATACGGGAATCTGATATGCACAATTTCGTCACTACAAAATGTATATGTCAATAATTTAATCAATTCTGGTATATATTACCCAAAAATTCTATACCATTAAAGAAGATAATTCCTTCCTTGTTGTTAACAAGATTTCTTCTTAAGTTATCAATACAATATAAGTTAGCTATTGGTTTTCATTATCCTGGGAAATCAATGTCAGAGAATTAATAATAATAATAATAATAATAATAGCAACATCAGGTTGAGAAAAAGGAGAAGTGAAAAAGGTACTGGGGCTTTTGTTGTTGTTGTGCATTTGTTGTGTATAGAGCTTGGGTAAGTTCTAGTGAGAGAAAATATTTGTTTTTTTTAAAATGTTTTAATGTCATTTATCAATCTGTTTTCTTTTTTTAAAAAATATATTTTGATTTTTTTTTTACAGAAAGGCAGAGGGAGAGAGAGATAAAAACATCAATGATAAGAGAGAATCATTGATTGTGCCTCCTGCACATCCCCAACTGGGGATGTGCCCGCAACCAAGGTACATGCCCTTGACCGGAATCGAACCTGGGACCCTTCAGTCTACAGGCCAATGCTCTATCCACTGAGCCAAATGGTTAGGGCTATCGATCTGTCTTCTGTGTCTTTCTTTTTTTTTTTAATCCTCACCCGAGGATATTTTTCCATTGAATTTTAGAGAGAGTGGAAGAGAGAGGGAAAGACAGAGAAATATAGATGTGAGAGAAACACATCGACTGGTTGCCTCCTGCACGGGCCTGGGCCAGGGAGGAACCTGCAACCGAGGTATGTGCCCTTGACCAGAATTGAACCCGGGACCTTTCAGTCCACAGGCCAACGCTCTACCCACTGAACCAAACCAGCTAGAGCTAGAGAAAATATTTTTAACAAATGTTTTATTGCTTCTCTCCCCTCTAAAATTTAAACTTTGCTGCCTTAGGTTGTAGTGAAAGAGCTGTTATACAGAACAATGATTAATATCCTTGTATATTTATTTATGTGTTTAAGGCAAGTAGAAGACTAAGATAAGCCTCAATTAAAATACTGTGTGTTTTCTTGCTACTTGCCTCTTGCTAAACTTGGATAATGGAGTAATAAAATTAGTTGGGTTCTGATTAATCAATATAATATGGGATTCATGTACGTGTCTTCTTTTACATGTTCTCATATACTCTTGTAGTAACTTAGTTTTTATTTTTTTTAAAATGATAATAGTAATATATATTATAATAATATATAATGTATACCACATGTAAAAGAATTGTGTGTCTAAGAAAAATGAAGCTCACTCCCTACTTATGATTTCTCTTCCTTTTATTTACCCTACAAACAGAGAATAGCAACCTCAGTATTTGAACATATTTATGAAAAAGTGAAGTGGGTGGTGGGGAAGGTATATCCAAATACTATGGCTCCTGACAGCATTCTTCTCCTTTCCTTCACTGACTGAAACACAGCTGAAAAATATGAAATTGCTTCTATGGCGATGAATTTAGCAATTTTAATTAGTTAAGGATTAGGATAACTGAATGATCAAAGGTATACTTTGATTAAAAATGGAGCTTTAGCCCTAGCTGGTTTGGCTCAGTGGATAGAGCACCGGCCTTCGGAATAAAAGGTCCCGGGTTCGATTCCAATTAAGGGCACATGCCTGGGTTTCGGGCTCGATTCCCAGTGGGGGGCATGTAGGAGGCGGCAGCCGATTGATTCTCTCTCATCATGGATGCTTCTATCTCTCTCTCCCTCTCCCTTCCTCTCTGAAATCAATAAAAAATATATTAAAAAAAAGAGTGGAGCTTTACTATACTATGTTATACTGAACATAAGGCAGAGCCCTACTAAAATGAACACTGAGTACCATGATACTCTTCTCAGTCAACTGAAGTGTCCAGAATGAATTATAAAGTTCATGTAGTACTCCCAAATAATAATAATTTTTTTAAAAAGCAATTATCAGTTACCCCTGATAATTTACCATATCAAAGCTAACAAGAGAGCCCTAGTCGGTTTGGCTCAGTGGATAGAGCATCAGCTTGCAGACCAAAGGGTCCCGGGTTTGATTCCAGTCACAGGCATGTACCTTAGTTGCAGGATCCTCCATGGCCTGGGCAGGAAGCGACCAATCGATGTGTTTCTCTCACATCGATATTTCTCTCTTGTCTTGTCCTCTCTCTAAGAAATCAATGGAAAAATATCCTCCAGTGAGGATTTAAAAAAGCTAACTAGAGATTCTAAAGACCTTTATTAAAATCCAGGCCTCATTGTACAAGTCAAGTGAAAAGGTTTCTAGGAAAAACCTTCCACTGGCACCTTTATGAAAAATTACTTAATTCCTATAAAAGTGGCAACACTTCTGTTTTAAGACATTTGAAAGATCTTAAATTATCAGACAATTCATTTTGCCAAGAATAAGTCAGGTAATAGCAGCACTCACCCACCTTCACTAACCAGCTCACTATTGTCTGACTGCTTACAAGAGATGATCTTCTCCACTAGTTGGTTGTAGCTGCAGTTACCAACAGCTTTTACAATGTCATCAATCTAGAAAACAAATGACTGTCTTACTAATCATGATAAGATTAAAAACAATAACAAAGAAACCAATATCACTCTTTAGGGTTTTATTCTAATACAATACTAAAGATACAAATATTATTTATGAAAAAAATCAACACTAAAATTAACACCCAACTGTTTTCAGTTTTGTTTACAGCTATATTATAAAAAATATTTTTAAAAAAAGGAAAATAGTGCTCACTTGTATGTTAATTACGCAAAAAATAATTAAATGGGTTTATTACATGCAACTTTATTTCCTAAGGTTGTAAAGATGCATTTAAGTGATTAAAATAAAAAATAAACCATTTAAGGAGGAAAAATAAGAAAAGCTCAGTTTTTTTCCTTTCTGAAATACAAATATTTTGCATTTAAAGCAAGGCAAATATAAAGATGCTAATTTATGAGATTAAAGTTTTCCCATTTTATTTATTACTAGAGTGTGGGGGGGTCCCTCAGCCTGGCCGGCGCCCTTTCGCAGTCTGGGAGCCCTCAGGGGATGTCCAAATGACGGCTTAGGCCCGCTGGCAGTCAGACATCCTTAGCGCTGCTGCGGAGGCAGGAGAGATTCCTGCCACCGCCGTGCGCTCGCCAGCCATGAGCCCAGTTTCTGGCTGAGCAGCGCTCGCCCTGTGTGAGTGCACTGACCACCAGAGGGCAGCTCCTATGTTGAGCATCTACTCCCCTGTGGTCAGTGCACGTCATAGCAACCGGTCGTTCCGCTGTTTGGTCGATTTGCATATTAGTCTCTTATTATATAGGATTTACTTCCTAGCCAAGTATAGTGAAAATGAGTAGACACAACTAACTTTATTTTCCTGAAGAAAAGTTAATGTATATTAATCAGGGACAGTTTTTGCCTCATGATTCTTATTTAATATTTGTCTTTGGAGGTTCACTAGAAAAGTGAATTCAATGTTTTAAGTTATAGGAATATAAAATTGGGCATCTCTACTCTCTCTCCATTATACTTTGTTTTGATTATTGAAGAAAAATAGATTTCTGCTGTCTCAACAACTTATTTTGTTTGCCCTCCCATCCCTAAAATATCTTTATAAATGATTTACATGGACTACTGTATTAATATAATATATCCATAATAAAACAAGTACAAATTAATACAATGATATAAAAAATAAGAGGGCCGATATTTTCTTTCAACATCCAAATGATCTTCTTGAATACTTACTCTTTGAACATCGTAAGTCTTAACATATATCTGCACAAGAAATACTCTGGACAGTAGTTCCCAAACTGGGAAGCTTATTAAAAAGGTTTAGGCCCTGGCCAGTGTGGCTCAGTTGGTTGAAGTGTCATCTGTGCACTGGAAGGTTACAGATTTGATTCCGATCAAGGCACATACCTAGGTTGTGGTTTGATCCCAGGTTGGGGCTCATGCGAGAGGCAACCAGTTGATGTATCTCTCTCACCTGGATGTTTCTTTCTCTCCTCCACCCCATCCTCCCTCTCTAAAATTAATTTTTAAAAAAGATTTAAAAGAATTCCAGGCTCAAGTTGCTTCTCAATTGTCTAAGTTTTATTCCACTGCTGAATAGCAAAATTTGAGAACAACTGCTCTGCTCTAGGCTATAATTTATTTCTTTTAGTCTGGTGCACGAGGTCCCTAGGCCTGACCTGTGCGATCGGGCTGAAACTGGCTCTCTGACACCCCCTGAGGGGTCCTGGATTGCGAGAGGGCGCAGGCCACAGGTCGAGGACCCCACCGGTGCACAATCAGGGCCGGGGAGGGATGCGGGAGGTTGGCCAGCCAGGGAAGGACCAGGGGAGGGCTCCAGGGCATGTCCAGCCCATCTCGCTCAGTCCCAATCGGCTGGACCCCAGCAGCAAGCTAATCTACCAGTCAGAGCTTTTGCCCCCTGGTGGTCAGTGCACGTCATAGCAAGCGGTTGAGCAGCCTTAGCATATCACACTTTGATTGATTGAACGGACGGCCAGACACTTAGCATATTAGGCTTTCATTATATAGGATTCCTGCAAAATTCTACCATGTTTTGTAAAAGCCTCTTAACCATGCAAGTGGAACTGATGGTTGGTTGAGAAGACCAGTAAATTGAAAAAGTCAAAGCAGTGAATTATGGAAAATGTTACATACAAATCTAAAACATTTCATATTAACTAAAAGCACATAAATGTATTCACTTGTCAATCTTTCGATGCAGAGTAAAATAAGGTTTTTCTTTGAAAGAGGATCTTTTGGCTACGAGTCTATGTAAACCACACAAAAGAGTATGACTTCCAGCTTTGATACATTTAAAATGAAAACTTAAGCCCTGGCTGGTGTGGCTCAGTTGGTTGGGCATCCTCTCATGCACTAAAATGAAAACTTAAACCCTTAAGAAGCAAATGGAGGGCACAGCTCTTTTAGATTTTCATTCTTTTTCTTTTTTTAAACACACACACGTGGGTGTGTGTGTGTGTGTGTGTGTGTGTGTGTGTGTATTATTGATTTAAGAGAGGAAGGAAGGGAGAGGGAAAAAGAGATAGAAACATCAATGATGAGAGAGAATATCAGCTGCCTCCTGCACGCCCCACACTGGGGATCGAGTCCACCACCCGGGCATGTGCTCTTAACTGGAATCGAACCTGGGACCCTTCAGTCTGCAGGCCGACACTCTATCAACTGAGCCAAACCAGCTAGAGCTTCAGTCTTTTTTTAACACTTACACTGTTTAGAGCATTTCTTTAGTGAGTCAACTTCGTTGTCTTTCCAAAGAACCTGAATTTTCAACCCTAAGGAATCCACTAAAATACAACTAGAATAACAAATACCAGATCAATGTGCAAAAATCAATTTTACTTCTATATACTAACAATGAACAATACAAAATTTCAAGTTTTCATAGGCTGAATCTCTGTATTAATATTTCATTCAATTAATTCATTTGGGTGCCTTTTATACACTACTATATACTGGGTGCTGTTAGAGAAATTACAGATGCAGCAGAGAAAAAAACAAATGTTCTATGCTTTCATAAAGTTTATATTCTGGAACAAACACAAACAATAAACCAAATAATCAAATACATAATATGCTAGGTAGTTGTATGCAACTGTTCTTTTTCATTGTTCTATAATATTTCATCTTTTGACAGCTACCTAAGTTGTTTTCAGTTGGGGCTACAACAAATAATACTGTTAGGAATAAATATTCTTGTACACTTATCTTGTTCCACATACCAAGAATTTCTCTAGGATATGCATTGTCAAATTTCTGAATATTAGGATATCCTTATTCTCACCTTTACTAGATAACTTCAAACTGCTTTCCAAGGTACACAGCCAATTCACATTCTCTTCAGGAGGAAATGAGAATACAATGCACATCTTCTCCAACATTCAGTATTGTCAGACTTTTAGATGTTAGCCATCCTGATGTGTGCAGAGTGGTATCTCATTTTGGTTTTAATTTGCATTTTCCGGATGGCTAGTTCATATGTTCACTGGCCACTTGTATATCCATTCTTGTGAAGTGCCTATTCAAATCATTTGCTCCTTTTTTTACTGGATGGCCTACCATTTTAAAAAGTACCTGTAGGAGCACTTTAATGTAGTCATGTTCCACCTATGTTCTTCATAGTTAATACATTTGTGTCTTGTTTTAGAACCTTTTCTTATCATTAAGGTTAAAAACATATTCTCAAACTTATATAATTTTATTTTTTACAGTTAAAAGATAAGTGCACATGGAATAGAATTTTATCGTGTGATTTGGGGGAAACAACTTCATTTTTTTCTAATTGGCTATCTAATTAGAAATTTGAATTGGCTATCTAACTGGCTATTTTTTTTCTGGTTTGCATAATTTCTTTATTTAAATTCTTATGCAAGTCTTAACTTGGATTAGAATGGCTAACTATTTACATATCTAATTGTCTTAGCACCTTTTATTGAAAGGACTACCTTTCCCCCATTACCTTACAGTGCCCTAATTCTGTCTATATATTCACAGTCTTTCTTAACTACAATCGTTAAAATATTTTGTATCTGGAAGAGCAAGTCCTCCCTACTTGTTCTGCTTCAAGAATATCTTGGCTTTGCCCTAGCTGGTGAGACTCAGTTGTTTGAGCATCGTCCATGCACCAAATGGTTGCTGGTTCAAATCTCTCTCAGGGCATAAGACCAGTTGTAGGCTTGATTCCCAGTAGGGGGTGTGCAGGAGGCAGCTGATCGATGTTTCTCTCTCACATTAATGTTTCTCTATCTTTCTGTCCCCCTTCCTTCGATAATATCAATAAAAACATACTTTTTTATTTTTTAAAAGAATATCTTGGCTTCTATTCCTAGATCTTTTTATTTTCATATAAATTGTAGAATCAACTTTTCACATTCTAAAACTACTCCCACAATCTGCTGGGATTTTGTTTGGGATTGTATTAAAACTATAATTTACTTTAAAGAGAAATGGCATCTATATAAATTCAGTCTTGAAATCTAAATTTTCATGTGTGTAAAAAGAATGTATAGTCAGGTTCATAAAAAACAAGTAAAGCCTAGCTGGTATGACCCTAATTGAGTTGGCCCCTAACTCCCTGAAGGGACACTCAGAAGTCTTGGGCTTGGGCAGGTTTACCAGTCTGGAGGACTGCTTCCTTAACCTCTCAATTTGGCTCATTCCAGGTAAAAAAAAAAAAAAGTATCAGCCCTATCCAGTTTGGCTCAATGGATAGAGCATCAGCCTGCAGACTGAAAGGTCCCAGGTTCGATTCCGATCAAGGGCACATACCCAAGTTGAGGGCTCAATCCCCAGTGGGGGGCATGCAGGAGGCAGCCGATCAATAATTCTCTCATCATTGATGTTTCTATCTCTCCCTCTCCCTTCCTCTCTGATTAAAAAAAAATAATAAAAATTAAAAAAAACTCCCTTAAAAAAAAGTACCAAAAAATATAATCTAAATTAATTTGCCAAAGTAATAGCATTTTACTAAATTTGTGTTTATATAATTTAAAATTTTCTACTTACCTGAGGGTCCACTAACCACCCATGGTATAAAGGAATATCAAGAAGATCAAATACTATGCATTCTGGTGTATATTCAAACACTCGAACACCAGTGAATTTTACATTTACATCCAAGCCAGTCTGTAGTTTGTGCAAGATTGCCATAGCATCACTCATATTCTGAAAACAGAAAAGGAAAGGGTAACAATAAGAAAAAGGAAACAGCAATAAAGAAGATATTTACATGCAAGACATTTGCTTCTAATTTTCCATTTTTTATTTTTATTAAGTATGTACTATGTGCCGGACACCAATCTGAGTTCTAAATATATAATAATACTAGAGGCCCTGTGCACAAAAATTTGTGCACTGGGGGCGGGGGGGGGGTGTCCCTCAGCCTGGCCTGCGCCCATTTGCAGTCCAGGACCCCTTGGGGGATGTCCACCTGTCAACTTAGGCCCACTCCCCGGGGGATCAGGCCTAAGCTTGTACTCAGACATCCTTCTGGCAGCCAGGGAGTCCTTGGGGGATGTCCGACGGAAGGCTTAGGCCCCCAAGGGAGCTGTGATGAGGAAGCTGGGGTGACAGAGGAGCCACGCTGTCCCGCCCCGCCGCCCCGGGTCGGGTCGCACACAGGATGCCCGCCACCCTGGGTCGCAGATAGCAGACCCGGATGGCAGCAGGGCAGGCGGGATGGCGCTGTCCTGCCCCACCACCCCGGGTGGCAAATAGCAGGCCCGGATGGCGGTGGGGCAGGCGGGATGGCGCTGTCCTGCCCTGCCTGCAGTATGCAAATTAGCCATCTTTGTTGGCAGTTAATTTGCATATTGTGCTGATTAGCCCATGGGAGGTGTAGCGAAGGTACGGTTAATTACCATGTTTGCCTTTTTTTTTTTTTTTTTCTTAATGGACTTGGCTTTTCTTTACAGCAATTTTTGGTTTGCAGAAAACTTGATCAGAAAGTAGAGTTCCCACATAACCCCTCTGCCTCCACATAGTTTGCCCTATTTTTTATATCTTACTAGAGGCCCGGTACATAACATTCGTGCACTGCGGGAGCGGGGGTCTCTCAGCCCGGCCTGTGCCCTCTCGCAGTCCAGTCCTAGACCTCTTGGGGGATGTCCACCTGCTGGCGGGGAACCGCCCTAAGCCAGCAGTAAAGATTAAAAAACAATATATATCTATATCTATATCTATATATATCTATATATATATATAGAACAAAATAGACAAAGTTTCTGATCTCATACAACTAATGCTACTGTGAGAGACAAGTATATTCTATATTCATAAAAGGCTAAGTGACAGACCGTCCGTCTGTCCGACCAGCTGGTGCATATGATGTGCCCTGGCAGTTTAAAAATAAACGTTGAGCCGACTATAATCATGTTGCATTCATTTCCCTTATGTGCCTTACATGCAGGTGCACCATTTCTCTCCACTAATACTAGCAGTGAATATTTTAGCAGCCAATTGCCACGTCATTAGTCTTGGACTGACTTGTTTGGTGTGCGCAACAGGAAATATTTCGTTTTTGGAGAATGAGAAAAATAGACTTATTTGTGTTAAGCTTATTAATTTGTGCAGTTATTCAGTGTCTGGTAAATTATTGTTCAAGAAAAATATTAATTTTTATTAAAATGTTATATTATTT